GAAGAAATCTCAGCACAACTATTGGCCATAAATCCCAGTATTGCTTTTGGACATAAACCATCCCTTACTTCTTGGTTCATGATTGGCGTTCACCAGGTAAAGTAATGTTTGTTCCCACAGCTAAACAACAAAGTACATAAGGAAGAGAAAAAAAATCTTTCAGAAAAGTAACCAGAAACATTATCAAAGCTTTATCTCAGCAAACTGTTCTCTAGAATTTTACAGTATTTCTGAAGGAAGTCTGATGGGTGCAGAAGGTGCATGATGCTACTTTAATTGAAGGATGACTTATACTTCAAACTTCTGATTATTTTTATGAAATCAATCCATCACAATGAGAAGCAATGCTTAAAAGTATAAGAATTTGCCATTCATTTGCCATCATTGCATGAAATTCATTAGCACCTTTTCTAAAGGAAATGGGAAAAAAAAACATTGTCTTTAAGCTAACATACTAAAACAACAGCAATTCTGATGTGGACTGTTATCACCTGATAAGCAAAATATTAGCTTCTCGGAATCATATAAAGTAATGAAGAAATCATTTTAATCATCTACTCTAGCTAATAGCAGATTACCATCAGCAGCATACTGTGTATAAATGATCAAAACTATCAAAATTTAGCTTTAAACTTTCTTGGATTGAGATAAGAGATCACCCAAAGCCATGAATCAGTTTGTTTCAGAGACAGTAGCCTGTCTGTTTTCCAAGCTGGAAGAATAATTTTACTAGACAACATATTGCAAAATGTGGAATTTTATGTATAAAACATTAACATCTTGTTCAAATGAATTCTTCCATCCTATGGGGACACAGCTTTAAGATGATTAATACTGAGGGGAATTTTACTGGCATTAGTCTTGAAAAAGCCTCATTCTCATGTGAGTCTTTGTCTAAAAATTCTTTTGGGGAAAACACAGCTACTTAATCTAATGTTTAGATTATACCATGCCTTTATTATAAGCCAACAATCTCCTTATCATAACTATGGAATGCATCTGATCAGAAGAAATGAAGTACTTGTTATCAATATAGCCAGCATGGGTTTGTTGTGGGTAGGTCTTGCTTGACCAATCTCATTTCCTTCTACGACCAGGTGACCTATCACCCGGACAAGGGAGAAGAGATTGATGTCATATATCTTGACTTCAAAAAAGCCTTTGATCTGGTATCCCATGATCACCTCTTGGTGAAACTGGCCAATTGTGGCCTTGGGTCCACCACAATCCACTGGCTGGAAAATTGGCTCCGTGGTCGGGCCCAGAGGGTAGTAATAGATGGAAGTCAATCGTCATGGTGTCCTGTGACCAGTGGGGTCCCCCAAGGCTCTGCCCTTGGACCCATATTGTTCAACATCTTCATTTATGATGTGTACACTGGAGTCAGAAGTGGATCGGCCAAGTTCACTGACGACACCAAACTTTGGGGCAAAGCATCCAGACCAGAAGACAGGTAGGTGATCCAGGCTGATCTGGACAGGCTCAGCAAATGGGCAGATGAGAACTTGATGGTGTTTAACACTGAAAAATGCAAGGTTCTCCACCTTGGGAAGAAAAACCTGCAGCATCCTTATAGGCTCGGCAGTGCTA